CTCCCTCCCTTCTACTCTCTAAAAAGCAATGGAAAAAATATCGTCCAGTGAGGATTAACAATAACAACAAAAAGAATACCACAGACTGGGTTGAAATACCCCACCCATGCTCCACCTTTCTTCCCACAGCTGAGCTGAAGGAACCCGCCCATTGCTTTTGGCATTGTGTAGAGACAAGTGTTTTATGGTCCCTCTGGATACTATATCATCTAAACAAAAGATATAATCTGTGGGTGAGGCTAGCTAATGCTTCATCCCACGTACCAATGGAACGTTGAATGCTTGTATCTAAAGGATATCAAGGCCCAGAACTTCTCAAACATATCATGAAAGCAACTCAGTAAGCATGGTTTACTGGCTTTTTCTAGGGTCAGGGATGCTTTTTTTAGAACCAGACTTACCTTGGGATTTCTGGTACTGAATAAGTAGACCAAGGGAAGACATGGCCCCAAAGGGGTACTCTATCCCTTATCCTCTGGTCCTTATTAACCTCTGGGCTGTGAATTCACTGGTCAGTATTCACTCTCTACTCCCTATTTATTAGATGAGGAAATAAGCCCTCGGGTCTCAAGGTCATATGGAGAATCAGTAGAAAACTCAGGACTAGAACTCAGGTCTCAACTCCTAGCCCAGGGGTTTTGTGGCATAGGATGAAGCCATTAAAAGTACAGTGTTCAGATCCATTGATAAACCATGCCTTTCTGCATTATGGCATGACCACAATAACTAGAGAATCTGAATGTTGTACATTATGCCTTTGGTAAAAAGCATAAACTGGCTGAGCTAATGAAATATTTAGTCAGATTAATCAAGGCATAAAATATGTAAACTGTGGGAAACACACTAATCTTGTGTATAGCTCAACATTTATTTTCATATATTTATACTTATTTTCACATATATAGATACCCACACACTTGTGTGATTAGATAAGATATATATTTCCAGTATTCTAGAAAGTCCCCTTCAGCCTCTTCCCAGTAATCAACCACAATTTACTTTTCTGTTATCTTGTTTCCATTTTTTGCTATTGTGAATAAAACTAGTATCATTCTTTTTGCATGGAAAAAAAAATTTAGTCAGAGCCATCCGAGAATAATCTAATTGTCAGTGAGAAGAGATAACCATAATTTGTCTTTTGTCAGCACAAAATTAAAATGTGCTTGATATTAATATATAAAGAAAAATCAACATAAAATTGAAAGGTCTGCCAGGGTGTCTTTAACATGAAAAAGAAGAGAAAAATGCAGATCTGTTTGGATGAAAACTCTTTTACTAAGCTCACAGAAAGACCAAATCTCATTTAACAGGAGTTGAAAGGAAATAACTCTTCGTTAAGACATGGAATAAGATGAGTGTGACCTGAACTATTTACAAATAGTACCTTTCTTGAACTTTAAAAGTCAACATTCCTTATATTCATGAATTTATTAATTTATAATGACTACTGCCAAAAATATAGACTGTGGTTGTGCAACCCTACAACTATTGGTAATTACTGTTTGTGCAATAGTTTGGAGAGAAAAAATTTACATTGACCTTTGTTTTGACATTGATACCGCATGTATCAATAAAGTGTGGTGTCTTTGATAGGAGTGTGCTGTTTAATTACTCAAGCAGGAAATATAGTTAGATCTCTCAGATTATTTGTAAAGATAAAGGCATATGGTCATACATTGTATCCAAAAGAATGTTGACGCGTCAAAATAAATGTTAATTATGCTTAATAGTTTATTAGATATTGAATGTTTCAACTCTTCAAGACCACAGATCTTAGCTATTATCTTGTAGGCTCTGAAAAAACATGACTTTTAATGTAAATCACATGATTCCTCACTGTGTAGAGGTGAACAGCTGTCAGGCCTCAGATATTCTCCTGCCTACTCTGCAAAACTGAGGAGGCTACTTTTGATTGGAATAAAAGTGCACACACTGGCTTTTTAAAATGTGGCTTTAATTAATGGTGGGTGGGCAGACTTTTTCAAGGAGATGCATGATGTCAGTGAATATGAACTTTAATGAGAGTAAATGTATTGAGATAAACATGCGTCTCTAATTCTCTTCTTGCAGTCATTAGACCCCCGTTTCCTACTCCCCCTTGGTACAAGCAGAAGGTCTGTGGAATCAAAATTAGAACAGGCTGGGCTTGTGTTTGAGGGCAGGCTTCCTGAGTTAAGCCTTCAGCTGGCCTGGCTCTAGAAAACTCCAGCCACCCAGGGTTGACCACAACATCAGCCCATTCTTATTTCTTCTTTGTGCTTTTCAGTATTTCCAAAATTATCTAATATGAATATCTTCTTTTAAAAATGGTGGTGGTGGTGGGGGAAACCAATACATTTTATTTAAAAAAAAAAATCTATTCCAAGACTATTCTTTTTAACCAATGCTATAAATCAGAATTCAGCACTGACTTTCACAAAAGACCTTAATTTTTCCCTAATATTTGAGTTTAATTCATTTATTATAACAGCTGGTTAGAGCACCCTCATGTGTCTCTGTATGGTAATATCATTTTAGATCTTTGGTGCTGTTGTATCATTTTATCTTAATCATAGCTTTGGCAGAATTTGTAATGATGTTTCTTCATGTTTACTTGAAACTCATCCTTGACTGAGTCTTGTTTTCTACCTCCAAAGAGTCCTAAAAAGATCAATTTACCTTCTTCAACACAAACATTCTATCAAAAAAGACACTCCACAGCTTCTTTCAGCAGTTCTTTTTAGGTCTAAAGAAGCCATGCTATGAAAACTTCTAAATTATATTTTAGGATAAGTTTAAGTAAATTACAAGCAAAAGTTACTTGGTCAATAGCCACCATTTGTTTCCTTTCAAGAGTTGAAAATGGCTTTTAAATTAGTCCACTTTTTCCCCTAGATGAAATAATCACAACTTCTTTTACCTTCCCTAAGAGAACATAGATCAAAATGTTCCACATATCCAACCAAATACTGCCCTTCAATCACTGGACATTTTCATAATAAGAATAAGAGGAATTCCATAAAAACACTTTCCCTAAAAGATATCTCTTAGTATGATAAAGATAGAACATGGGATTTGAAACAAGACTTACATTAGTCTTAGTTGTGCAATACCAGTGGCTTTGCTCACTGAAGTTCAGGTTCTATCATGTGTAAAAGTGTATCATATGGTGCTGTAGGAAGACAAGCATAAGGTAAATAGCAGAGAACCTGGCACATAGTAGGCACTCAATAAAAGTTAGTTCCTTTCCCTTTAGTGAAGTGAAGGTTATCTGTAACTTAGGTAATAGCGATAAGCACAAATTCAATTTGAACTATTACTTAGTTCAGCTTGAACTATTCAGTCTGATCTCTATATGTATCCATAGACTCATCTTTGGTACAGTTTAACATACTAATAAAATAAAAAAAAACAGGCATATAGGTCCTGGCTGGATAGTTCAGTTGGTTAGAGCATTGTCCCAGTATACCAAGGTTGGGGGTTTGATCCCAGTCAGGGCACATATAAAAATCAACCAATGATTGCATAAATAAGTGAACAACAAATCGATGTTTCTCTCTCCCTTGCCCCTTTCCTCTTTCTAAAATCAATCAATAAATAAGTAAGCAAATAAACAAACCAACCAGGCATATAGTATTTGCTAATGTGCAAAATACTGTCAAATGTTTTATAATTTGATCTTTCAAAAACCCATATAGGAACAAAAAAACCCACCAGTATTCATATTCCCATATTTCAAATGAGAAACTGGGTCTAGGAGGGTTGAAGTGACTAACCCAATGTCACACAATCATAAAGTGTGGGCTTGGGGGTTTCAAATCCAGTTGTGTTCACCCATATGTCCTTATCTATATTTCCATGTTGTCTCTGTTGAGAATTTCTGAGACACACACACACACATACAGAGTATTTCTGTGTTTTAAACAAAGGAGCAGCAGCAGCAGCCATCACCCTTGGAAGATAGCCCACCAATTATTTTTTTCCCCTTTGTGTGTGTGTGTGTTTTTTAATATGTCTTCATTGATTTCAGAGAGAGGACGGGGGGGGGGAGAGAGAGAGAGAGAGAGAGAGAGACATCAGTGATGAGAAAGTCATTTATCAGCTGCTTCCTAC